GGTCAACCCAGACCGAAATATATTTTCAATAAATGTGGAACTAACATCTACTTTTTTACTCTACAGAGGTTTGGTCCATCACCATCACTGAATTTTAAATATTTAATCTGTGTAATTGAGGGAGCTGATAACGTGAATCAAACTTTAATTTTCAAACCATGGTAAACACTCTAGTATGCCGAATCCATTACCGCCTGATCCAATCAGGGTTTAGCTATGTGTTTGTTGTCTATTTTGAACCAATAGAATTAGTATGGCGGTTATCTCTATCTTTCTATCTATCTCATTATCCAATCATAGTTATGACTCCTTCAATCAGTATATTTACTTCATCTGAAACTATGGTGTGCAACACTTGCAACGCGTGTTAAGCTTTGATATTACTAACGTAATTTGACTAATTGTAAGAGAAGAGTTGTTGATTTTAAACCTGAATGATTTACAATATAAGGTTTCGAAAATAGTACTTTTTTCCCTGGATTAAAAAGTCTTCCGGCTTGAATGTGTTCTTTAAGTTTTTTATCTAGTGATTTGGCAAAGAAAGAATGCGAATATATAGTTACATATAGATGAAAATTGTACTAAAAAAAGTGTATAAATTCTGTACAGTCGTCTCTGAAGTCTCTGTGTGGTTAATCCTGTACTTTAAGCTTGTATTGTGTTAAGTAGTACCTGGAGAAGGTTCTTTTAGCAAGCAAACCTTGTCAGTCCCGCCTACCTTGTCAGCCCCGCCTACCTTGTTAGCCCCTCCTACCTTGTTAGCCCCTCCTACCAAGTGTGTCAGCTGTATTGACAACCTGATTGCAAGTTATCAGTGCTTGGTGAGTTTAAAATTCTTTGTTTAAAGGGACTGTAAGCATAATTTCAAATGACCATTCATGAAAAGATGGCAATGTCTGATTTACTATTTATACAAAAATACAGTCTTATTCTGATCGAAAAGTGTTTTCTTCGAGTTTCTCCATTGCTTCTTATTAACTAGAAATGCACAAGTTAATTTTGCAAATAACCCGCAAATAAGAATAAACAGTTTAAAGAAACAAAAACATTGATATCTAATTCATACTTAATCAAACATGGCTTTCAAGGTTACCGTTGTTAATCGGGCATTGACATCTTTGCACGGAGGGTCACTTGAAATTACGCGTACAGTCCCGTTAAATGATGACTGTAAAGTGTAAATAAATTTACAAATACCCTTAACTATATATATAAATATGAATGTTTATTATTGGTCTTGACTCTTGTCTGGGTTTTGTTTTGTATATAATTATATAGACTTCAAAACGACGGATCTGGCATTAATGTAAAATTTAACAACAAAAAGTTGCCAATATCCTTGTTTTAATCAGTGGATTTCAAAAATATTTGAAAATAAAACTTCTGCTAATTTAAACCCTCATATTAACCTCATTCCCTGGCGCGAAAAGGTAGAGGTCATGGTTTAAAGTTCAGTGAGTCTTAAGTTTAGAACACATTTTTAATCATTATATGCTATTTAATACGTATTTTTGGGCTTGCAGATTACTTAATTCATTATAAAGGTATTTTATGCTATTTGCAATTACGGGTATTGAATAGTAGATCAAAATTCAGGATGCACTTCGTTGTAGTTAGTTTTATGTAGTAGGGGTTTTTAAGGTTTAAAATGGCTTACTGGACTTCTAAAATATTGTTAATTTCTTAAACTGTTATTGATTGATTGATTAAGGAATGCCCAGACGATCCATTCCTCTGTGATCTTTGTGCAGGAGCACATAGGAAAATTATCATTCATTAAACGTGTCTTAAGTTTAAATATAACTTAAAGTGACTCTCGTGTAAATATTGCAATGCCCGATTTACAATGATACCCATAAAAGCTTTGTCGGATTAAGCAAGAATAAGATATCCATGTTTTTGTTTCCTTAAACACTTTTTAAACACTTTTGCGAGTCAGAACAATTTTTTAATAATAATAAATAAATTTTTAATAAAAATGGTTTAAAGGGTCCTTGTAAATCGGACATTGCTATCTTTGCATGGAGGGTCACTTGAAATTACGCTTCCTGTCAGTTTTCATTATATTTGTAAAATTTGAATTTTTACATTTTTCTTACTGCTGAATGATGGTTGATTGTAGAAGACTTCGACAGACAAATAAGCATATTCTGCAGAAAGTTGATTTTAACCTGGACAGTCCTTCAAGTAAGGAATATTGAAAACATATTTTTCTGCCTATTGTTGACTGATGACGTAATTTAGAGATGGCACGTTAGATTCAAAAAGTACCAATTTTATCTCAAGTAATAATTTCCTTTATTGTTTCTGCTGAAATAATCCGCAAGTCATTTATCATTTTTTGTTGCAAAATTTTTCAGATTGGAGTAAACTTTCTCCGAAAGTTAAATTATAGCTTATTTTTTTCCTCAGAAAGTGTAATTTTAGAAATTTTCTTCCTCCTTGAGTTTAATTTTATAGTTATTTTCTTCCTCCGAAAGTTAATTTTAGATTTTTTTCTTCCCCCAAAAGTTTAATTTTAGATATTTTCTTCCTCCAAAAGTTTAATTGGAGATATTTCCTTCCTCAGAAAGTTTAATTTTAAATATTTTCTTCCTCCAAAAGTTTAATTATAGATTATTTTCTTCCTCCGAAAATTTAATATTTTCTCCAGGTGTTTGCTCTGAAATACAAAACTGGATCCACCCATACTGGATCTCAGGCTTACCAACATATTTCCTAGTAGATCAGGTCAATTACAAGATTAACGCTAACCTTACTGCAGAGATCAAAAGGTTTGGCTGGAACGCAAAATTCCGCGGCATAACTCCTTATCCATGGAGAGTAAACTTTTTAAAAGAAAGGATTTAGTATTATCACCAGCTGACTTTAAATCTATCTAAGGACGGAATTTAATATATTTAAACTACCTATTCCCAGTTCAAATCCTGAAACACCGATTCAAAGTTAAAAGATTTATGAAATTTTGAATCCGTTATTCAGGATTTGAACCGGTGGTTCTTGTTCAGCAACCTTAACAATTCATTTTATTAGGACCCATGTTTATTATAAAGCCGACCATAAGCAAAAACCTGAGAAAATACAAACTGACCAAAAAAACCTAATTTTCCGCTTGTGTTGTGACCTCAAAAACTGTCAATTTTTCCGACCTTGCTTGTTATATTTATATGTTAAGAAACTATCTGAAGACGACCACAAGATTTGTGCTAATTTTTTTGATAAGCTAAAAACAAGTCTAGCTGTCTACAAGTCCAGGTAAATGGTACTGTAGAGGAAAATGAAAGGAGAAAACCTGAGTTTTCCACCTCCTCAGATATGGTTTCATATTTGCTTAATATGATCTGTCTAAAACTAAGAATATTTTGGCAAATCTCAAAATTTACAAAGTTATATATATTAATTTCTCGAGACAGGAAAATCGGATAGATTTCTTTTAGGGTTCTATCAACTCCTACAGGTTTCAGGACAAAATATCCCACGAAACTTGATTATAGAAAGACGATTTTTTTGCGGCATTTTATACGTAAACCTACTTTTGTATAAGTATGATTCTTGTAACCATAACCATAAAGTTCTCCTAGTTAAGGCATTTCCAAAATGTGGTCTGTTTTTTAGCGTCCATAGGACCGGAGATTTTTAATAAATTTTGTTCAGTTATCAATCTTTATATCAAACCAAAAATGTCGAAATCTGAACATAACTCATCACATCTCTGGTGATTTCCATCCTTTGTTGAGAACTACAATTGAAAAGAATTATTTCCAGAAAAAAAGGGGCAACTTTGCCAGTTTTGCTCAAATAAGGGTTAAATTTATCCTTAATAAGGTTTTAAGTTTAAAGGAAACCGTTATAACATTTTTACAAATAATATCTATGATCTGAGCTAAAAACTTTAGAATGAGATATCCTTAATCCCGATTACTTAATCTGAGTATCCAATGGACACACTTTTGATTTTCTTCTTAAACTACTCTTTCAATTGGATATAGTAGAGAAAAATCAAAAGCTGGTTTTTTAAATTAGAGATTCCCTCCCGTTTCTGTATATTAATCTTAAATGGCGCGCAAAATTTCAAATTTACAGGCTTCTTAAACGTGAATCGGATTGGTTGAATTTTATGCACTTTTCAGGATACAAGTACAAGATTAGGTTAGTGTCGATATTAAGAAAAAAGAGGATCAAGCATTAATCTCGATATCTTCCATTATAAAGTTTTCAGCTCTGGGAATATATTTGAGCAGAAAGAAAGTAAAAATGTTTGAATGTTTTTAGTTTTCATAATTTGTTGAACAATCTCTTCAACAATATTATTCAAATCCTGTTAAAGGGACTGTACGCGTAATTCAAGTGACCCTCTGATCTGATCTGATATTGGCGTTTATCTATGTTTATAATGTTTTTATTTCTGAAAATTCCTATGTTTTTTCCTGCTGAATAAATGTGCAAGTCACCTTTGAAGAGAACCCAGGCCATGCTTGAAAATTATCAGATTTGAAAATCATAAACATTGATTGCTATTTCATACCTAATCAGACATAGCTTTTAAGTGTACCGTTGTGAATTGAGCATTCCCATTTTTGCATTAAGGGTCACTCAAAATTACGCTTACAGTCCCTTTAATAAACTTGTAAAACCTAGGTATCCTCAGAGTGAAAAGTTTGATGGAGAGTCCGCTAAAACTTCTCTTATTCATTTCATCAATGGTCTCATGAAAGGTTAGTGAGTGCATGCCATTTTTGAAGTTGTTATCTGTTAACGACACTTTCTTTAATAGTATAATAATACTAGTTGAAGAAGCCAGAGTTGCCCGTGGAATAATTTTTTTTAAATTTGCCTATACCATCCATGGGGAACCCGGGGTATCCCTCAAAATAAAATTCAGCCAATTTTACCATATATATATAGAGAACATATGAATGACCGAAGAGCTTTATTATACAGATGATTATGATCTCAGGTTATTTTGCAAGTGAAAAGTAGTGACCGGCAAGGATATAGCATTCATTAGGATATTTTACTCATTAAGTATTCAGTATCAATCTTAGATATAAGAAAACCTTGGTCGAACAAGAAAGAATCATACCACGCATAAGCCATTTATGTTTAAAATTAAAGGATTGTCTGAAAAAAAAAATTTTTTTTTATTTATTTAGATTTGTCTGATTCTGCTGAAACCCCGGGAGCTAGAACTTGTTTTCTGATCAGGTTTATTTTATTTAATCTCTGATCAGGTTTATTTTATTTAATCTCTGATCAGGTTTATTTCATTTAATCTCTGATCAGGTTAATTTTATTTAATCTCTGATCAGGTTATTTTATTTAATCTCTGATCAGATTATTTTATTTAATCTCTGATCAGGTTTATTTCATTTAATCTCTGATCAGGTTAATTTTATTTAATATCTGATCAGGTTAATTTTATTTAATTTCTGATTAAGTTAATTTTTTATTCTCTGATCAGGTTAATTTTATTTAATCTCTGATCAGGTTAATTTTATTTAATCTCTGATCAGGTTAACTTTATTTAATCTCTGGTCAGGTTTATTTAATTTAATCTCTGATCTGAGGTCGAATTAAAAAAATTTGAGCGGAGGCTTAAATTTAAGCCGCCGCTCAAATATGGTAGATTTTACTTAAAATTGTATTCAATGTCTTAAGATTTAAGCCGGTGCTTAATTGAAACCGGTTTTTGGCGGATTTAAGACGCGGCTCAAATTCATTAAATTCGTACACAGGTTGATTTTTTTTAATCTCTGATCATGTTGGTTTTATTTAATCTCTGATCAGGTTTGTTTAATTTAATTTTAGATCAGGTTCATTTTATCTAATTTCTGATCAGGTCAATTTTATTTAATCTCTTATCAGAGGTGGAATTTAAAGAATTTAAGTTGCGGTTTAAATCCGCCAAAACCCGGTTTAAATTTAGCGCCGGTTTAAATCTTGAAACATTTGATACAATTTTAAGTCGAACCAACCATATTTAAACCGCGGCTTAAATTTAAACCGCCGCTCAAATTCTTTAAATTCGGCCACAGGTTAATTTTTTCTCTGATTAGGTTAATATTAATTAATCTCTAGTCAAGTATGAAATCCCTTTTTTTCTTTCTTTAAACTGTTTATTTTCATTTGCGGTTTCTCTGCTAAAGTGAGTTTCGCATTTCTTAATGCATTTCGCATTATCAGAATTAAACACTTGGTATCATCTAAAATTTTGATCAGATTAAGGCTGCAAGGGTACTTTTGTAAATCGGGCATTGTCATTTTTTCATGGAGGGTCATTCCAATTAATGAATTATTTATTCAGTGAGTTGGTGAACAATGGTCTAATTCAGGCAGGCTACTTTATCGAAGTGGAAACCCTAGAAGCAATGAAAAAACTTATCAAATCTGAAAGGTTGGTTATTTTTTCTATAATATTATTTGGCTTAAAATGTTAATTTGTGAGTGAATGTTATTTTTGGAACTAAGAAAATTTATTTTGATTATAGAGTTTATAAAAGCCATGTGGGGGCCGGCTATTAGAAGCGATATTATGAACTTATTGCTCCCCACTCCTGTCTTTTTTAGAACATTGATGTATTTCCAATATTTAGTGTCTTTCTTTTGCTACTATTTTTCCCCTTCAACCTATATCTTAGATCTTTAGCAAGTTCTCAATCCAAAGCTATAATAATCTTTGGAGAAGAAGTTTACTTCTATACTCCCATTTATTGGAATTTAAATAATGGACTTTAAATTCATATTTAACTTACAGGTTTTTGGCATAAAAACTAGGATATTTTTTTTGCAAGGAGGGGGGAGGGGTAACGTTACGTTCACGAAAAAAAGTGTTCAATTTCAACTCATCAACTAAAAGAAAAGTAACATTACATTAATTAACCCTAGTGAATGGATTGAAAAACTCCGGTTACCATCCCCCCCCCATCCTTTCAGGACTAAAAATGTTTTCTTTCAGTGTGATCGTACAGGAAGCTTGTTTGCTGGCAATCCTGGCAATTTTAAAGGGACTGTAGGCATACATTTAAGTGAGCCTCCAGTTGTAGAATGACAACGGTACCCTTTTAACCATAGTGTCATGGTGGAGATTTTTTTTATCTTACTAGAATTGCATAATTCACCTTCTTGAGTTTCATGTTCCAAAGTTAATATTCCTTGTCTTCAGTGAATTAGCAAATAAAAGTTTTAATGACAACATTAAATAATTCTTTAATAATTAGATCCTTAGTTTTTGAACCCATGCACATTCTAATGGGTCTATACAAGATTTATGAGACAAGTTGACAATGATAAGAATTAACAGTTTTGAATTTTTACATTTCTAATATTTGTTGGAACTAAATTTTATTAATTTTAAAAGTTTTTGAAAACAACAAACCATACATGATACACAAAACAGTCTTTAAGTGAAGAATGTAAATATAAGGGCCCGTGAAAGAAATCTTCAATTTCATGTTACTATCGAATTACAAACAGCTTTTATAAACAAATTAAAGGAATTATTTATTTTCGTATCAAACTGAGAAAACAAAGTCAGACTCAAATTTTTAGCAAAACCGGCGATTTAAAAAATTCAAGAAAATACGACTCAGTTCTAGCCTATTTACGGCTTGAGCTTTTGCATTCAATCAGCATCTTATTTTCCACAAAGTTGAGTTCAAAAAACTGGTTCGATATTCTATTTGGCGGATTTTCATGGTATGAATTGGTGATTCCCGGGTGTTTATGAGAACAAGGCTCAACATTGAGCCTTATTCTCTACTAAAACCAACCAAGGTCGGTTTTATTTTCATTGGGTCCAACTCTTAAGTCAAGATAAGATCTCGGAGCTGTCAATCACGTGACACAGACTGTCGTTGAAGTTGATTCAAAGATTGGGTTTTAAAGCTGGGTTTAAGAAATTACGACCCGAGCCGAAGCTTGTAAATTGCGGGCTCAGATATCCCCGTCGTCGATAATCAGACAAAGGTTTAAAGGAAACTTTTGTGAACCGGAAATGAGGTCACTTGAATTCTTGTCTACAGTCCCTTTAAAGGAGGTAACTGACCTGAAAGCTCCATTTAGCTTCCACAAAATGAAGTATCTTGAGGTTAGTAAATCAGTTAAACTTAGCTTGAAATATTTTTTTAAATTTTATTCACATTTGAAGTTTTGGAAAACCTTCAATTTTTGTGCGGATCTAACAATCTTTATGACCGAAACTTTTGAACGGTTTAGGATGTGCGTTAGCTTCATGTAATGTACGTAGTTATTTAAAGCTTAAAGCAGTAAAATCCAAAAATAGACAATTTGGGCTGAAAACGGAGGAACGGAGTGTAAAGTCAAAAACTAAAATGCATCATAAAATTACCTAAATGACGTGCAAAAAACCAAATTTCAACCATAAAATTTTTTATCCTTTTTTCAATTGATTTTTAATAATTCTTGAATATGTGATTGGGACGTATATTTCATTAGGACTGGGTGTCGTTATTTTCTTTTTTAAAATATTCCAGTAAATTCAAATTTAACTTTAAATCAGTTTTCTTTTTCGAAATTATTCAAAATGTTGACTCTGACTCCTCTGACGGAAGATATAAGCATTAAGCATGAACAGATCAATTGTTTGTTCTTGAACGAATAAAAAAAATAGTGTCAATGTTTGAAAGCGTTCTCAGATCTGTAATAATTAATTTAATGAATTTGAAGGATCGCTAAACTGCCTACCGCCGGTTCAAATTTTAATCAGCTATGCATTCTATTTCTTCCTGACTCGTTAACTTTGAATCTGTGGTTAAAATTTAAACTGAGAGTCGGTAGTTCAGATACCTAGATCAAATTCATTAAATTCAGATATTGAAAACGGATAGTAACGATGCCTTACTCTACATTTTTGAAAAGGTCATTCACTAGAATTTTCCTAGAAGGGCCTTGTTTATTTGGTGTACTGTCCCGCTTTTGTGTACTGTACAGCTTGCTCTAGCTGTTCAAAAGTTGGCCCGATACCTTAAATGAACCGGAGTTTACAGTGCCTTTAAACTTATTAACTTAAATTTATATTTTAGAAAAGGTTTTATATGTTTAAATTTTTAGAATGATATTTGGAGAGTTGTGAAAGTGACGTTTAATAAAGGCAAGTGCATTTAATTCATTTCGCATGTATACCCGAATATCTATAATTACCTGAATACCTAAGTTCAAAAACACATCTAAATATTAAACATAAAATGCGAAGGTTAAAACTGCAGCAGTGCCGTATGGATTTAAGAATTACTTGCAACTGTGCCTAACTGTTAAGCGTACAATATTTGGATGTGCTTGTGAACTTGGTATAGGTACAAAGGTATTCGTGTACGGATGCTTCATATCTAATAAATTTTCTGAAAATGATTATGATTATGATTATGAAGTTAATCTTCTAAACCGTGCAAAGACGTCTCTAAAGAGCTGAAATGATCAAAATTCAAATTTAACCGATATGACACCGTAATCTGGTTACTGGATGTTCATTTAACACTACAGTTTAATTTTTAATGAGTTTTAATTATTTAAGTTTTACTGTAATTTAATTTGAAATTTCATTGCGGATCTTTTAGATGAAATATATTACCTAAATTTAGACTAAAAAAAGCAGCTATCGTTATTTGGAAAATAATGACTTACTTGTCTTCACTACATTGTGCATCGTCCACCGTTTACCCTACACTGTACATTGTACTCCGTACACCCCACATTGTGCATAGTGCACCCTATACCCTGCATTGTGCACCGTGCACCAGTCACCCTACATTTTGCATCGTCCACCCTACATTATGCACCGTGCACCATTCACCTTACACTGTGCATCGTCCACCGTTAACCCTACACTGTACATAGTAATCCGTTCACCCTAAATTGTGCACCGTGCACCATTCACCCAACATTGTGTATTGTGCACTGTTCATCCTACACTGTACATAGTACTTAGTTCATCCTACACTGTACATAGTACTCCGTTCATCCTACATTGTGCACCGTGCACCATTCACCCTACATTGTGCATCGTCCACCGTTCACCCTACACTGTACATAGTACTCCGTTTACCCTACATTGTGCACCGTGCACCATTCACCATAAATTGTGCACCGTGCACCATTCACCTTACATTGTGTATCGTCCACCGTTCACCCTACACTGTACATAGTACTCCATTCATCCTACACTGTACATAGAACTCCGTTCACCCTACACTGTACATAGTACTACGTTTATCCTACACTGTACATAGTACTGTGTTCACCCTGCACTGTACATAGTACTCCGTTCACCCCGCACTGTACATAGTACTCTGTTCATCCTACACTGTACATAGTTCTCAGTTCACCCTACACTGTACATAGTACTCGGTTCACCCTACACTGTACATAGTACTCCGTTCATCCTACACTGTACATAGTACTCCGTTCACCCTGCACTGTACATAGTACTCCGTTCATCCTACACTGTACATAGTACTCAGTTCACCCTACACTGTACATAGTACTCCGTTCACCCTACATTGTGCATAGTACTCCGTTCACCCTACATTGTGCATAGTACTCCATTCACCCTACACTGTACATAGTACTCCGTTCACCCTACATTGTGCATAGTGCACCATACACTCTACATTGGGCATCGTCCACCGGTCACCTAGTAAACTGTACATAGTAGTCCGTACACCTCACACTGTGCATAGTGCACCATACACCCTACATTGTGTGCATCGTACACCTTACACTGCATTGTGCAACGTGCACCGTTCACCCTACATTGTGCATCATACACAGTACACATTACCTTGTGCATCATGAACCGTACACTTTCCATACTATACCCAGCACTCAGTGTAAAATAAACTCATCTAAAATCATATGGGCATACCTAAACCGATTTAAAATTTTTTTTTAAAGATTAAAATATTTTAGTTTTTTATTATTTTTATTTCAGAGGACCGGATTCACTTTCTCGCCAGGAAAATCTCATTTTTGTTTGATCATGACTTTAATTCCTAAATTCTAAAATTAGAAATTAGAGATTATACAAATATAATATATGTATAATCTCTAATAAATAATCATGGTACTACTTGTTTAAGAATATGTGTTCTTGTTTTTAAATGACAAATTCATGTTATAAACTATATGATTACTTTATAATGTAAGTTTTTACTAGTTATTACTTGTTTTAATTGTTGAATACGATTATGTACTTTTATACATGTGACTTCAAATTATGAAATATTTTAATGTAAGCCTTGTGTACTTTTTTAACTTGTACCTGTACGGACTTGACCATGTTGTTAGAAATACATATTGGACAATATTGAATAAAATTTACTTTTTGTTTAGTTGTAAAAGCTTAATAATTGCATCCCAATTTATAATTGTACCTTTCCCTTTTCTGAAAAAAGGCCAATTATATCTGCCTGCTGATAAAAATCCATTTTCAATGAATATTACCAGAAAGAAATAGACTAGCGGAGCAACCCAAAATGTAATTCAATGGAAAAGTGCCCAAGTATTTGAATTTAAAATAGCTCCATTACTATAAAAGAACGCTACATCAATATGCGATAACAATAAAGATGAAAAATAGGAATACCACTTTCCGTCAAAAGAGCTAATTTTTCCAACAGAACGGATTTATATTTTCCAGGCTATCTTGTGTAGCGCTAGAGCTGTGCTGTATCAGGATGTTACTATATTGAGTACTAGCTGAAGGGCCTGGCGTTGCCCGTGGAAAAATATTTGAAAAACAATTCGAATTCTTATAGCTTATAACACCCCCCGGCCACCTATGAGTGTCCACAAAATTTTTTAGCCCATTCGGTCCAGCCGTTTTGCCAGCTGTGTTGACAACATATATATATATACGAATGTCTTGTTTTATTATATAGATTAGTATTACTCCGGAAAAGTTTAAATTAATAACTCCAGCTGATTATTTGGTATTAGTTCAATTCTCTCAATTATCTTCTAGTTGAATTATTTTAATATTTACAAATATAAAAACTTAATTCTATACAATCATATATCTTAATATAAATATCGCCAATAACAATTTGTTAGGCTGAATCAAAAATTTTAAAGAAAGATTCATAAATTCAAATGTTAATTCTAAAATTTTCCATGTAAATGCTCAAGTAATTTGTATTCTTTTGACCATTTACTTACGCCGGATACCTTAGTTAATATCAACAGTTTGATCTTCAAAGTATAATTGTCATTCATTCCCAGTGAAGTTTTTATAATCCAAAATATCATTTAAATATATTCTCTAAGAAATGTTCAACGGATAGTAGTTCTGATCATATGGTACATCGCAATATTATCATGCTGAGTAGTATTGGTGCTATGGCTTGTTGCTCTGGTAGGATCATGAATAGTACCATACGGTTGGAACTGAATGGGACATGATACTATTCTGCAGGGGCGGTAGGACCTTCGCACCCCCCCCCCCCCTGAGATTTCGAGGCAAAAAATGTTCCCAATTTGATGCATCGTATGTGTATATTTTTATCAAGTTATTTGATTATTTAATGGAATTATAATATTGAAGATATTTATTGAATAAATGAATCCTCAGTGCTAGTCAAATTTGTGATTTTTTTCAGAAAAAAATTAAAATGCGCTTCGCATCCTAATGTTTTTGTTTCTAGTTTTGGGATTTTTTGTTCCTATTTCAGAATAGCTTCTCAATGCCCCATAAGGGAAAGAAACCTTGAGTAATAAACTATAATGTGTGGTAAGTTAAAAATCTAGTTTTTTAGTCTTCAGTCAATAATTTTGTCTCTTTTTGAGTCTTTGTAAGTCAAAAAAAAATTTTTGCAAAATTTCGCGAAATTGCTGTTAAGAAATTACGCGAAATTACGCCATAATTCCGCGAAATTGAAGTTTCGCAAATAATGCGTAATTACTACAAAGTTTCGCTCAGTAGAAATTACGTGAAATTACGCTGAATATATTCTTTCTTTGCCAATCATTAAAAAAGTAGCTAAAAGACAATATAGTGAATGTAGAATACTACATTTAGCCTTGAAATTATCATACTTCAAGAGTTTCAGGTCGTCTTTACAGTCTTATACTTTGTGGGTAACTCTGTATACATAAGTATATATAGATATAGTTTCTTATGGTTAAATATATTTAGAAAGTTTTCCCTTCCATCAGTATAATGTATTCGATAAACGGTAACTTACAGAAGAAACGGTCACGATAGCTTCATATCTGGCTTTTTACCATGTTTAATCTTATTCATCCTTGTCAACTCCCTTATACCTCCCCACCCCCCATCCTTTACTTCCTTGTCTCCCCCTCCCCAGCAATACGTTTCCACATTTATACTTTGCAAATATGGGTAAAGAAAGATGCCTAAAGCCAAGGTAAGAACTAGAAGCCTTGACACCAAAAATATAGTTTAAATATTTATTAACTCGTAATTAGAAGACATTTGATAAAGAAATTAATTACCTTCAACATTGTTAATCTTTCTCTACTAAAGGAGGCTCTCAAACAATATCCAAACTTTAATCCGATATTTGGACAATTTGACTTTGTTACATCACATAAAGGACGAATTTAATATTTTAAAACCTGGAATCGTATTCTGACAGATTTTCTCAAATATCTAGGGGGGTCCTTAAGTTCTAAGTTATTTGAACTGGTCAGAAACCATAATTAAAAATTGTTGAAAAGATTATTTTAGGGAGAAAATGGAGAATTTAGGGAGAAAATGGAGAATTTAGGGAGAAAATGCCATATTGTTTACACTGTTCTGTAAACTTTTTTCTGGGTGTAGCCATTGTTGCTTAGCTTATCATCAAGTGTCAGACAGTAAGTAAAAAATTGGGAGATTTTCTAATTCAAAATTGCGGATTTTGTATCCAATTCAGCAGAAATAAAAAAATCGACTTTAAAAACCCACCCTTTTATAGTATATGTAAGAAGACATTCCAAACCATTCACCAACTGTCATGTTTTGTAGGTCACCATGTCTTTGTAATGATTGTAACTGACATTTGTTTGTCAATTTGATTTTACAAGTATGAATCTGAACTCCATGAAGCTGGATCAACCACATTCTGGATACACTATACGGGCTGGTATGAGTTAGGCAATCCTTGTTGTTACTATTCGGATCGTGCACTATAAGTCTAATATAAAAATTTGATTTTACAAGTATGAATCTGAACTCCATGAAGCTGGATCAACCATATTCTGGGTACACTATACGGGCTGGTAGGACTTAGGCAATCCTTGCTGTTACTATTACTATTTTTCCAGTTTTGGCATATTTTGGCATTCTGTAGGTAATGAATGTTCAGATGGGAGCTGCAGTCTTCAAGAAGTTGATTTAACAAATATATTATATCTGTTAAATGTTCATAACTTTCTTTGAATAACTTTGATCGAAATTTTTTCGATATTTCGATTTTACAAACAAAAAGTTAGAGGATTATCTGATAGTTTCTGAACAGCTTCCTTACCGAGACTTCGAAACAGATTGGAGAAAAGTTGAAAATCCGCGGTTTTTCTGAACATTTATCACTTAGGTTACACTCTGCACTGTACACTGTACAAATACAATTCCTAGCTAGTTCATTTAATAGGGTATATTTAGGCCTAAAAAATATAAATTTCTTTAAAAACTACATATTTATTTTCATCTAATAGACAGTGAGAAATTGAGATTTAATTTTTTTTGGTTGCATTTGGTTGAATTTACTAACAGATAAAATAACAGATATCTCTTTTTAAGATAATGAAAGATATTGAATAAGGTTTTTTTAGCAGGCAAGCTATTGAGGCAAGCACAAAAATAAAGTAATTAAAAATCAAGAAGATTTTAACTTTTTCTTCTTTTCTGATTTAGGTATATCTTTTGTATGCAATCTTTGGAGCCATCTCGCGCCTAAAAATTCGATGAAAAATTTGTTAAACCAGGCTACCGCTAAGAACCTTCCGTAGTTCTACCATGGTCCCCATTCAAAATCATAGGCAAATCGGCCCAGGGCCATATGAGTTATGATTGGACAAATAAACAGACAAAAAATTATTACTACTTTATATAGTTCTAAGTTATTACCACCATTTACCCGCACTTGAACTATTTTACTGGGAAAATAAATTTTCGATATTAAAGTCGATCCACTCTTTTTAGAATCTTTAAACCAAGCTAAGAACATTTCCGTGGGTCCACCGAGTTCCATCAACTTTGAGGCAAATCGGTCCATAGGTTCTTAAATTATTATCGAAAAAACAAACAGACAAACACCAATTACAACTTTATTTATATAGATAAAGATAAATCGACGTTTTTAAATAAATACTTTGTATCCTAGTATTTTGTATCCTTGTATTGTGTACCCTTGTATTTTGTATCCTTGTATTTTGTATCCAATTGTATTTTGTATCCTTGTATATTGTATCCTTGTATTTTGTATCTTTGTATTTTGTATCCTTGTATTTTGTTTCCTCGTTTTTTGTATACTTGTATTTTGTATCGTTGTATTTTGTATCCAATTGTATTTTGTATCCTTGTATTTTGTATTCTTGTATTTTGTAGCCTTGTATTTTGTATCCTTGTATTTTGTATCTTTGTATTTTGTATCCTTGTATTTTGTATCCTTGTATTTTGTAGCCTTGTAATTTTGTATCCTTGTATTTTGTATCCTTGTATTTTGTAGCCTTGTATTTTGTATCCTTGTATTTTGTATCCTTGTATTTTGTATCCTTGTATTTTGTATTCTTGTATTTTGTATTCTTGTATTTTGTATCCTTGTATTTTGTTTCCTTGTATTTTGTATCCTTGTATTTTGTATTCTTGTATTTGCATCCTTTTATTTTGTATCCTTTTATAGATGGCGTATTTTTGGACATACGCCCATCCCCTCTACTGCCCATCCGACCTACAAGCACGTGGTTTTAACAGCTGTGGTAGGTCCGATGCACTGTAGGTCGGATGGGCACGTTAAAAACAGCATATTGGTGCATCCGACCTACTTTAAGCTGTCGCTTGGACACGTTGTAGGTCTGATGGGCATTTTTCGTAGGTCGGATGGGCATTTTTCGTAGGTCGGATGGGATACACACTACCTTGTGCATCATACACAGTACACACTACCTTGTGCATCATATACAGTACACACTACCTTGTGCATTATACACAGTGCACACTACCTTGTGCATCATACACAGTACACACTACCTTGTGCATCATAAACAGTACACACTACCTTGTGCATCATACACAGTAAACACTACCTTGTGCATTATACACAGTACACACTACCTTGTGCATTATTCACAGTACACACTACCTTTTGCATCATACACAGTACATACTACCTTGTGCATCATGCACCGTTCACCCTACATTATGCTCTGTGCACCGTTTGTCCTACATTGTGCATTGTGCACGGTTCACCCTAAATTGTGCATTGTTTTATAATCCCTTCATCTTTGGAACCCAATATCGTAAATCTTTGATATTTTAAACTTTTAATATTTGAACTAGCAGAATTCATAGTTTGAAATATCAAAGGTCTACGACATTGGAATCCAAAGACATAGGATTTAGAAAAGCAGAGTTTGTGGCTAAGACTCAATTCCTTTAGATAAATTTCTTTTGATACTTTTATTTAAGAAGTTAAAATGTATCCAATAAATCTAATGAATTAAAGGAGAATAATGAAACATATCCTTAAAATGTCCCAACTTCCCAGGTCGGAAATTGTAAAAGGACTCCTTCAATTAGAGAGTCAACACTTAACACATCTAGCATGGAGAGAATCAGTTAAACTTGTTAACTTCTACCCCACTGAAAAGTTCCTATTTCCGTATTTTAATACAAATTTATTGAATTTTTGTTATTTCAAACCAATGTTTAAGTTGCTGATAAAGTAAGTTTTAAAAAACAGTCATTTGCAGGATTTTTGTATTTACATAAATTGGTAAAAGAAACGTTGTTGAATATATACAATGATTATATATAATGAATGCAGAGTGGGGCGTCAAATATCCAATAGCAAACATTGTTTGAGATAAGGAAGAAAATAAAACATTGCTTGAGATAAGAAAATAAAACATTTTATAATCATTCAACATGAAGGTCTTCATTGCTTTACTATTAGCTGCCCTCGCTTCAGGTTTAGTAAAACAATTTCAATTCTTAAATAAAAAATCTAAAAAGTTTCAGAATTTCAAAACATTACGTTTGTTGCAAATCCCTGAATTAAGATTAAAATAAATTTGTTCTTTAAAAGATTTCAATTCATTCTTCAGAGGATAAGTTTTTGCCATAAAATCAAATTTTTAATCACTATATTTTTGAAACCCCAAATCGTAGACTTATTGATATTTCAAACTAAGAATTCTGTTAGATTAAATGAACTAAGTTTGAAATTTCAAAGGTTTAAAACTTCAGATTCCAAAGAAAAAGGGATTTGAAAATTGGAGCTTGTGGCAAAAACTCAATTCCTTTGTTTAAATAATTTGCTTTATAACAACCTAAAATTGTCAAAAGATTGCTTAAAGGTCGTCTTTATGGGTTTTACTTTAGTTTATCTGCATAAAGCAGAAAAATACATCATGTTTTCAAATATGACAATTTTCAACGAAATATCTGATTTATAAATGATCATTATAAATATTCACAATTCTTTTATAAATATAAATTAAAGATCTGATTTTTAGTTGATCATTAAAATATATTTAGGATTCTTTTATCTGTGGATAAACACCCCGTTTCAATATACAAGCACAAATAAAAAACCAGGAAAATATTCAAGATTTAAAATAAACAATTTTTTTATTTTTTAAATTCCTTAAAGCTCAATTTTAGAAAAGAAAAATGGGCGCAGTTAAAGCTACATTCTAAACTTTTAAAAGAAAAAAAAACGTAATTTTAAGTGATACTCCATTGATAGAGATCAACAACGGTTTCCTTAACTTCAACCTTGTCTGATCAAGTAAAATTAGATATTGAAGTTTTTGTTTTTGTTAAATAATTATTTTCGTTTGTGAGCTGGAAATATTACATTGTCTTTCACATGGTTGATAAGATTAAAGGTTTCAAGGTTAACGCTGTGAACGACCTACTTTTTTCAATCTTTCAAAAAAAAACTTAGATCGTTCGACCAATTTCAAATCGCTTTTTTGATCGTTTAAGAAAAAGGTCGTTTCTTCATTTATTTGAACGATGACCATCTCTGGCTTTAAATAGTAAAAATAGTGACCTGGAAGCTGGGAATTCCTAAATCCTAAATATTTTCAGTATATTTTAAGAAACATAAATATATTCTCTACTATAATCAGGTGGGAGCATAATCTTAATGAAAGTGACTGTCAACAAATTTTAATTTAACCCGCATTGAAAAAATTAACAATGTTTCCCTCTCAACCTTGTTTTCAATTATGATAATAATGTTTAAAATCGATTTTGAAAATCACTTACTCACCCGGTTGAAAAAACAAAGATTAACCTTTAAACTAATTTATTGTTTTAGATGGTAAAATTGACTTTTGATATCAAAAATAGATAATTTTATTCAGGAATTGGAAAGATATTTATAAAGAAGAAATAATTCAATATGATAAAGAAATAATTTATTCTACCATTGATTTCATCACAAGTTTCGTTTAAGAAATATGTTCCTAGACTACAAATTAGATTATAAGATAAGTTTTCGTTCAGGATTATTTAATGATTTCAAAAATCTATTCTCCAAAATGGACCATCCAAGTATTTATTGAAGAGCGAATTTGCGCTCTCGCTATTTGCACAAACACTCTCAGTTCAGTTGCTATACCTATACTAGTCATTTTTTTTCAGTTTTGGGATTCTGACAACTTTGGTTATGGATTTGGAAAAAGTCCTTTTATTGTTAACAATTGTTCAGTAAACAAATGTTTCATAACTAACGATAGGTAGCATTTTTCTCAAATAAACTGTATTTCCTTTAAGAAAAGTTGATGAACTTTTAATTGTTTATCTGTTAAAGGGATCGTGAGTATTATTTTAAGTTACCCTTTATGAAAATATGACAATGATACCCTTGAAACCTTTATCTGATCAATATCTGGTGGAAGATATTTGTCTTGGTTTAAAAGGGTTTAATTCTGATTATTCTTTTATGTTTTCCCGCGGTAGAAACACATTGATATTTGATTTATCCTTAATTAGACAAAGCTTTTTTCAGGGTATCGTTGTGAATGGGGTATTGCCATTGCATAGAGGGTCCCTTTAAATTAAGCTAACAGTTCCTTTTAAAAGGTTGTTATTGCCAGCTATCGAAGATTTTGATATGATAATATTTCACACTGGTGGTGTAGAGGTAAAGTAGGATTTTAGGAAATTTAACAAATATAATAATATCCACCATAAAATCATCAGAAATCCGCGAAAATAGGATTAGTTCATATTTAGATTACTGCAAAGAATTTTGACACTTTATTTGAAATAGGCCTGGTGAAGGGTCTCATCAAAATTTCTAAAAAGTCTGGTACAAAGTAATTAATTATTTTGTAAAAAGAAAAGCTACAGATTTAAAGCAAGAAAAAAGTGCAAAAAAACAATTCTATCCAAAATAACCACTACAGTCAGTTATGGACCAGGCTAAATTTTTTAATTCTGAAAGTGGCTTTGTTCATCCGATTTAGAGCAAAAGTAGATAAAATTCTAAAATCTTAATTTGTGGATTAACATATGTAAATATCCAGATATACTCTACATATTTAAACAATTATAGATTCATAGCACTGATACATTTTGTACAGCATTTAAAAAGATTTAAATCCATAATACTGGTAAATTTTACTTTCTTCTAGTTTCTTACATTTGCTAAAATTTGTAGTAAAGTGTGAACATGAGACATGAGTCAGAAGCAAATTAAAGATCGTTTTAACTCTATGATATCTTTATATCAGCAAACATTATTTATGCCTCGACCCCTATTTTTCCTCATTCTGTCTGTATGGTTCCAGAATACAGCTTTAGAAAAATGTGCATGCTGAATATTGATGTACGATACTGGTTGATCAAGAGGAATATTTAAAATCTCCGTTTTCCCTTTTGTTGGGGTTTTTAATCCCTATAACGCTGAAACCCACTGTCGTAGACCTTTGATATTTCAAACTATGAATTCTGCTAAATCAAACCAAGCCAAACCCGCTGAGTCTTGAAGTAAGTCTGGGACGTCCAAAAGACGTGCCAAGACGCTCAATTTTCCAAGAAAGTATTAGCTTTCACCAAATATTCTGTAACATGAGAAATATCTATTAAAATATTTGCAAATAGGTTTGTTAATCGTTATTGTAAACGATCATTAAACGATCATTTTTGTTTCGTTTTCAAAAACGATCATTTCATTTTCAGAAAAAAAACAATCGTTTTTATAAACAACCCACTCATTTTGAACTTTTAAAAAACGAATATTGATCGTTTTTGAAAACAATGGTTTTATTAAAACGATTTGCGACTGTTTTTTATACGATTGTTTTTAAAAAACGATCATTTTTGAAAAAAAGATTGTTTTTGAAAAAAAATTTTATTGACAATTATGTTAACAATCCTTAACGAAGGGTCGTCGTTAACAGGGTTTTTTTCTACCTGGTCTTTTGCAGTGGAGCAGTCTCAGATTTATTATGAATTAAAAGGAATTCAAAACCTACCTACTAAATGTGGAAACCACCGAGTCCAGATCACCAATGTAAAGACATATATCTGTTAAGAACGGTGGAAAGCACAGAGGTCAAACTTCATCCAATTAGTTCTGAAGAGCTAAGCAATGCTGCTGAGTTGAGATCACTAGCCTTGTTTCTGCGTTACAAGATGGAGATTGAAGAAGGAAGAAGAAATGATCTGGGAGTCCAAATGTCCTGTGAAGCTAATGTCAAAGAACCCTCAGAAGCTCCGCCTCATCACTTAGGCAGAGGAATATTTGTGTTTAAAAGAGGCGAGATAGTTTATTCCTGCAAACAAGTAACTGTCAAACTACTAGAGAAGGAACATTGTTACCTGGACATCCCGATCCATCAAGAGAAGGAGTACAGATTCATCTCCATTGCCAATCGAATGTTGATCACCTCATCAGCTCAGGAACCTTGTGTTCCTCATTTCTCAAAGACGATGCAAGGAATCAAAAGCTGGATCAAGATAGGTCCAAAGCTTAGGTCCATTCCTCCGCCACGGTCAGAAAGGAAGGATACTGTAACTTAAAACCATCATGAAGATGAGTTGGGGTTTATACACCCTGGCGGAGGAACGGGACTTTGACCATATTGCGGGATTGTCCTTTTATACGACCCAAGTTCAACAGAAAATAGTGCATTCTGTCTGCAAGAATGATGAGAGCTGTGATCTAAATCCATTACCAGGAAGTCCATCATATTCCTTGACTAAACTAGAACAGGAAGCTGAAGATTTTGGGCGGATGGAATTTCTTTCTCAAGAAGGTATAGGAACCAGCCTGGTATGTACTCACAGTTTATGCAACAATAGGAGGATGCATAACCACAACACAGTGGGCTTTCTGGGTCTTATGTGTTGTAAAAAAAGCACTCAGCGCCTGTTGCAAATCCCCAGTGGCGGAGAGCAAGTTCTCCGAGTCAATGCTGCTCAAACTTATGGGCGACTCCCACCATGCTTCCCCTGCCCCAGCAAGGAAAGGCAGAGTCTGTTTTACCAGGAGGAAAGGATCTGACGGAGAGGTGGAGTTGGGAATCCCAACGTAATTAATGACCGCGTTCATGATCAATTCTATCATCACGGTCCATGATGATAGAATCAAGGGTGGATGTAAACCCACCACAGTTTTGTATGTAGAATTGTAAATTAGTTCGTTCAACCCAGATGTAAATATCAGTTTAGTCCACGGCGAAAGTTTCCATGGAGTATTGGGCAAACAAACAACAATCTGATTTAAACTTGTTATCTTGTATCTACGTCGAAGGAAGGGAAATATTCAGGAGGAAATCAATAAACAACAATGAGATTCAAACCTACTATCTTGTAACGATGGCAAGTTAGAATAATGAGACTTTTGTCAGCAAAGACTTTTTGGTTAAAATGTGCAAAATTTTAAAACAATCTTATTCATTTTGGCACATTCACAAACGGTGACAGATGGTGTTTTAAAGGAACTGTAGACAATATTTTAAAGTAGACTGCATTTTAAAGGGATTGTATACGGTATTTTAATTGGACCGTGTGGGGTATTTTAAAGGGACTGTAGACTATAAATAAGTTGTTAATACTTTTTTCTTTGGGGGGTGGGGGGAATATCAACTATGAAAACTTTGCCTTATTTGTTAAAAAGTGCAAAATTTTAAAACAATCTTATTCATTTTGGCACTTTGACAAAGATATTCTAGGATGTCGAATCTGCCAAGGCTAAGGAGTTCTTGAAAGTTGCCGACGGTATGGACGATTATCCCTTTGCCATCACCTATGATGATGCTGTTGAAGTCAAATACTCTGTCGAAGGTATAATATTGACTGTAGACTGTATTTTAAAGAGACTGTAGACTGTATTTTCAAGGAACTGTAGACAGTATTTTAAAGGGACTGGAGACAGTATTTCAAAGGGACTGTACTCTATATTTTAAAGGGACTGTAGATGGTATTTAAAGTAACCTTACTGGCACCCTTAAAAGCTTTGTCTGAGTGATTTAAAGGAATTTCTTATCAATATTTTTCTCTTAGACAATTAATATTATTTCAAAATTTCACCTTTTTCTAATCTAGAAATATGACAATTTTTTTTCAAATTCATTCTTTCCCTTCTTTCCTTCTTTAAATGGCTTTTACTTGAAATTATTATATTCAAATAAACCAAAAAAAATATATGAAGTAAAAGAAAGGAGTTTTTTTTGCGGTACATGAAATTACTTTTTATTCTAAGTAAAATGTAAATTATTTTTTGGTGAAACATTATGTAATAGAGAAATTTATTAATATATCTGTAAATTAAAATACAAATATGTGATATTCTTTTTCGCTGGAATCATTATTATAACTAAGGTGAGCCAAAACATATCAAAAATGATTTTGTGCAAATAAAAACAAACATTTATAAATATTCATTGATATTTGCAGGCAATAATTTTGAATTAATAAGCCTTCAATGCCACTTCAACAAATGCACGGAAATTATAATTTTAGATATTTCTTTTACAGTACAGCTAATGCAGTACAGTTTACCTAGTACAAACTTTTCTTTTTTTTTCTTTTATATATTGATTGATTGATTGATTCATTCATTCATTCATTCATTCATCNAGGTTTTTAATTTTGTAAAAAAATTAATTTCTTGAAAATCCGCGAATTTTTTTTTTAAATCCGCAAAATTTTTTCTTCTTTGTTTTAAAATGTAAACAAAAAGAACATGTTCACAGTTTGAATAGAAGATGGGCGCTAAAAGCCTAGTAATAATAAAAATGATAATGATAATTATTTTTAAATGTTAAGAATAAAGACTTTATTACTTTACATTTTAATAATTATTTTTAATTATTTAGAACGTCTCAGCGGTAGCTGCAGATTTGTTCCTTGCTAACTGCACTAGGAGCTAAAACTCCCTCAGTGTCTATGAGAACCCTGAGCTGCTGCGGCGAAACCACAGGTTGAGATAACCCTGAACCTACTCCAAACCCTATTCTTCTCCTGCTCCAGGATCCATTCATCTCCAAGGAACCTCCCGTGGTCAATCTTTATCCAAGAACACGAGGACAAGAAATATCAACGTTTCCTCTATACAGATCCGGTATGATGAAAGAGTAGGAGAGAACCAATCCTCATGCTCCTTCACATAAACAGGTTAATCCTCCACATAGTTAGATTCCTTAATTATCATGCTCCTACACATAGACAGGTTCAATAATCCTCCACATAGACAGGTTCGTTAATCCTCATGCTCCTTCACATAGACAGGTTTGTTAATCCTTCACATAGACAGGTTCGTTAATACGCATGCTCCTTCACATAGACAGGTTCGTTAATCCTCATGCTCCTCCAAATAGAAAGGTTTGTTAATCGTTATAATCCTTCCCATAGACAGGTTCGTTAATCCTACACATAGACAGGTTCTTTAATCCTCATGCTCCTTCACATAGACAGGTTCGTTAATCCTCACATATACAGGTTCCGTAATCCTCATGCTCCTTCACATAGACAGGTTCCTAAATCCTTCACATAGACAGGTTAGTAAATCTTCATGCTCCTTCACATTGACAGGTTCGTCAATCCTCATGATCCTTCACATAGACAGGTTTGTTAATCCTCCACATAGACGGGTTCCTTAATCCTCATGCTCCTTCACATAGACAGGTTCGTAAATCCTCCACATAGACAGGTTAGTAAATCTTCATGCTCCTTCACACAGACAGGTTCGTNGTTCAATTTTCATCTGTTTTGAGTCTGTTAGCAGGTAATGAATTCTTCCTCGTTCTAGAGCATCACAATTTCTGATAACTCTGTGAAATTCAGTTATCTTCTCATGATTACTGTTCTCTACCATCCTAAAATATAATCAAATTAATGGATCAAAACACTTACCAAAATAAACTTTACTAAGATAAGTGGTTAAACCCTAATACACCACTAAGTCAATATGAGATTCAGAGATGTATTTTTCATGTCTTAGTATAATTTTCTTTCTTCTTTATCACAGGTTCAAAAAACTAAATATGAATACAGAAAAAAAATACTACATCTTTATAACATTTAGTATAAAACTTTTTTTAAAAAAAATGTCTCTCATGCACTGTTATCAGTTCCATGTTTGATAACTGCTATGGAAACTTATTTTTTCAGAATCTGATCCTTGTGCTTGTGAGAATTGTATTCCAACTCTGATTCAGGGGCAATTCTTACAACATCTCTCATGTTTCGTTCTATTTTCTTCTTTGAGAAAGAACTTTGA